TCGCTCAAATTGTATGAGATTTCTGGAAAAAAAAATCAAATTTGCCACTAGGAAGCATGTCATCTGCCAGAATACACCGCTATATGCCCACTTCCACGTATTAGGGAAGAAGTCCAATTCTTGTTAGCCATGTATATGCAATTAGATGTCTTCCCTTTGCTTTTCTTTTTGAAAAAGAAGGAAGTCTTAGCTCCTTCAGTGTACCGGGTCTTCAACTCAAGAAGAAATTAGTCATTAGTGTCCAAATAGTTCCATATATCTAATAATAAAATCTCTGTGTTTTGGAGGCAAAGTTTATCCACTGTTCCCACATACTGGGTCAATGCTAGCTGATAAGACTTTAAAACTGCCTAGACCTTAGTTTTGGGGATTTTTTTTTGTACTTAGTCACAATTACTTACTTTGGGAAAAGGCATTAGTGCCATCTCATTTCATGCTGACCTCAGGCCATGCTGAGATATTCTTGGCAAGTTCACATTGTAAAGTATTTCTAATGGCCATCTGCTGTCTTGCTGGTTTTGTTGGTCTGGGGCAGGGAACACGAGTTGTTGTTGTGGTTTGGGAATAGTATTCCCCAATTTAGTGTTTCTCCTGAAACCCAAGGAACCATGAGCTGCTCTCTCACTCCCCACCCCCTCCCCTGCCATGGGATGATGAGACTTGGAGCACAGAAGATTAAGAACAATTTACTAGGAACAGCAGTGAAATAAGTACATGAACAGTATCAACGACGCCAATAACAGTGTACAAGGCAGGCCAATGATCTTGGATCGCTCACCACGTGGACAAAAGGGGCTCAAATCCTTTCCCTTTCATCCCTTGTGCTTTACTTGAGGTGGTATAGAATAGCCCCAGGGTCCTAGCTGCTTCTCCTGGCTGCTGCAAAAGTTAACCCTCTCCTGGCCAGAACCAGTACATTTGTCTTTTGGGGTTGATTTGCTTTGTTTAAACCATAGATCTTTGTTTTGACTGAAAACTGTATGGAAATGGAATACATTGAGTCTGCAATATTGTCAAACAAGCATTTTGTGTTGTAAATCTGGTATAAACAACTAAGTTGCATAGTTGGTCTTCACATTTTTTCAAGGGGTAAGCAAAAAAAGAAAATAAATCCGGAACAAATAAATTTTTTCTTGAGCATGTGTGTTGAGTTAATTATATAATCTGCTTTACAAAACTCTTTTATATCACAGTGGATGACGTAGTAGATGAAAGTGATGATAATGATGATCCTGAAACAGAATCAGAAATTGAAACTGAAAATGATGATGACAAGGACCAACATTTTAAGGTTGGTATGAGACAAAATCGATATGCAAAAATCAGGCATAACAGTTCTTTAAGTTGCTTGAATCATGTCTGTAAACATATGTTTTAAGTGTTAAAAGGAGTTTGAGGATGTTGTCAGGGCAATTTCTAAAATTGAATAAAGCTCTTGAAACTTAAAGAAGGTGGGTGCTGCTTGCAAATATCAGCCTTTCTTGCTCAGATCACTTAAAGATTTTTATCAAAATCTGTTTGCTTCACACTTGATGTGTCTGGAGTACAGTGGAAAAAGTTACAAAACTCTTCTAGCAGTATTCTCTTCCCAACCTGTCGCTCATAGCCTGCTTTTCCCGCATATGCTGCACAGTATATAGGAGCTGCCCTAACTTTTTCCATCATTCTGTACTGGGATTGAGTTTCAGCAATGTAACTGAAGTTTAGTCTGCTGTAGAGGTAGATTTCAGACCTCTCGTTGTACCACTTTGGGAAGGTATTGTGGTGCTAGTCAGGACATGGATGGATATTTGGTCAGAACTGCCTTATTCTGTATTTTTATGTTACATATATTTAGGAGTTGATTGAATTGTCTGTCCATGGATTGGAATGACAGTTTTATTCGAGGGTCTTGTGAGCCCTGATGAGGGGACTATGTTCCATAGAAGCAGTATTCCTTTGTCTTCTCTGTAATCAGATGAAGTCTCCACATTCCAGGTTGCAATAGCTTGAATACACACAGATGTTATTGTAAAGTGTAGTCTGATGTCTGAGTATAATACATCTTGATGAAAACCAGAAAATTAAGTTGTTTATGATATTTCTGTTGAAATGGAGAGTTGGGCATACTAATGAAACTCTTCATGGTGAAAGCTGCAGTTCAACTAGTTGTAAAATAATGGTATACAGCTTTTAAAGCATAGCTGTGTTAGAATTAAAAGGTGAATGTTTTAGGTTGATTCTTTAGAAGATCATAAACACTGGATGCAAGATTAATTTGTTCTGGTGATCTTTCAGAATGATGATATTGAGACTGATATTAATAAACTGAAACCTAGACAAGAATTGGGAAGACCCATAGAAGAACTGAAAATGTATGAGCACTTTTTCCCAGAACTTTCAGAAAACTTTCAGGTAAAGAATATGGTACCCAGGACATTTCTCATCATGTCAAGTTGACTCTGTAATACACTTTAGTATTCTTTTTTGGGTGGCTAGTTCCTCTAGCCAAGAAACATGGCTCTGTAGTTCTAGACCTACATATAAGAGTGCTATATACTGAGTTATTTAGTTAAATATTATGATTACTTTAATCTGACTGAGAAGGGGGCTATGAGCAGATAAAAAACTGTTTTCTGATGTCTGATTATTGCACACAGCAGAAAGTAAAATACATAAGAAGGGATGTGAGATTTCTGAGAGTGCTTCATTGTGTTAGGTATTTCTTTCAATGCTGTGCACCTACTTAAAATAAATGGTTAAAATATCTGGGGAATTGCATTGACTTGATACTTTGTTATTGATGAATTGCTTGTTTATTGCTTTGACACCTTTTTTGTATAAAAGATGAAACTTTATTGCTATGTTATGATGGTTTATAACTTAATGACTGTTATCTTTTGAATTACATTTCTTCTGGGTTATTCAAAAACCTACCTCAGGAACAAGGAAAAAGAAATGTTTCTAATATAAATGACACTTAGGAACTGTTTACTTTTTTCTGTTAATAATTTAAATTTCATTTAATTTACTTTTTCACCTTTGTTTTTTAAGGAATGGGAGTTAGTTTCCAAGGAACCAAAGCCTTTTGTACCTGATGCAAATATGAGTGGACCTATTGTTGTTCCTACAGCTGGCAAGGAGCACTCTACTGAAGAAAACCAGTTAACAAAAGGAGTTGCTTTGAAGGAGGGCAATCCTTTAATGACAGAGGAATGCAATAGGAGACCAGTCTTTCTGGAACTACCAAAGAAAGATAGTTTGAAAGACAGTAGTTCACAGCAGGAAAATGATCAAAGAAACATGGTTCCATCATGCCAGTGTCTAAGCCAAGAAATTGTGAAAGGTTTGGACAGAATCAGTCTGCAGAACAATGCAAAAAATGATCAGTATTATGGTACAGGTTGTGCAGTAAAGAAGGAAAGCAAAGCTAGCCTTACCACACTTGCTTGTAGTAAACCTTGTGAACATGTTTCACCCTGTGGAAGTAGCCTCTTTGAAGGATCATCTGTCCAGCTGGGAAAACTCTGCTGCGCTGGAGTGGATTCAGGGGAGGAGGATGATTCCAGATCTAGTTCATCAGAGGAACAAATTGTGCTCGAGGTTTCTGATGTATCACCAGTTCACGACTGTGATCTTTATATTGAAATGATGAAAACCACAAAGTCTATTCTGGAATATTCAGAAGTAGCCTATCCAGACTATTTTGGCCATATTCCACCACCATTTAAGGAACCTATACTGGAAAGGCCATATGGGGTGCAGAGGTGAGTTACCATATTCCTTTGTTGTTGTTTTCATTCCCTTGAGAAACCATCTTTAGAATGAGATTAACTAGATGATCTCCAGAGGTCCTTTCATACCCTAATTATTCTGTGATTAACAGGCAATATTACTTTGGCATCTAAAACTGTTCTCAGTGAAAAGCAGTTTGAAGGTAGGTGAGTAGGCATTGATCAGTGGAGAGCCATAAAGAAGAATGCAGTCTGATTCTGTAGTTCAGATAGATTGTGGTGAGTCAGCCTCTTCACAGTCTTGTCAGTGCACTGGACTTGTGACTTGTTTTCTTTTCTAGTTAGTTTAAATTTAATAAGAGGTGCTAGAGTTGTGCACTTATCTTCTCTTTTTCATTCGTTAGCAGTATTAATTTTAGTGAAATTGGGAATTTCCAGCCTTAATGTACTTTACTGCTCTGTTTCTGTATTCTTCATTGTTAATCTGCCTCCTTTTCTTCTTATTGCAGGTGCTGTGCAAGCTTTTCCTCACAGCTCTGCCACTATATTTCATTCTTGAACTGCAACACATTCTTACATTTCCAGACCAGGACCTAGATACTGCCAGTTGTGCAATTGTTTTATGATCTGGATAAGCATACACCTGACATTTGGCTGACATCACCAAATTCATTCTTATTTGTTACCTAGTCGATAAATGATCCTAGATCTCCTGAGGTGAACGGCTAGTTCACTAACACACTCACTGTACGATCTACTCTCTAAAACTCTTTAATTTTGTTTATGGTAGGACTCGTATAAGTTACTAATGTTATCAAGTGTTGTCCTGGATTAAAGCATTAACATAAGTAATGTTTGAGTAATTCCTGCTTCTGTTATAAAGTATGAAACAGTGCATTTTTTTTCCATAAGATAAAACCCAGTGCATGAAAACTCAGTTCCCTCACATACAAATATGGAATTCAGCCAGCTGTGAATGCAGGTGTTTAAACTTAAGTACACTTAGAGTTTGTGCACATAAGTGGGGGCAAGGCTGTGGTTTCTCTGAACTGTCCCATTGTCTTCATGTCAACTTTGTTAGTTTTCATTGTTGTATGAGGTAATTCCTCTTTTGTAACTGGAAACAGTATATGAAAATTTAAATGAGAACTCTGCTTTTTATTTCAGGACAAAAATTTCTCAAGATATTGAAAGGCTGATTCATCAGAATGACATTATAGACAGAGTTGTGTATGACCTCGATAATCCAAGGTAAGTTTTTACTTTCCTGAACACAGTATTTAGCTATTACTCTAAGCCTGTACTACTTTCTCTGTGTTGTGATTTATAATATTTAAAGTAGACTTTATTGTAAGTTTCATCTGAGGTAACAGTGTTTCAGCTATCCAGACTGTATTACAGAAGGTTCAAAATAGTTTCCGAATTGCCAAGTGAGGACTAAAATTAATTTGCTTTAGTTAAATTTGTTTTATTCTTTTTGGTTCCTCTTTCTACTCATAGTTATTCAGTACCAGAGGAAGCAGATGTTTTGAAGTTTAATTCCAAATTTGAATCTGGAAACCTGCGCAAAGTTATTCAGATCAGAAAGTAAGATATTTCAACTCTTCTTTTCACACTTTAGACCTTATATTTCTGCAGCTTAAACAAGGCTGATTTGGTTTTGTTGTTTTTCAGAAATGAATATGATCTAATTCTGAACTCAGATATAAATAGCAATCATTATCATCAATGGTTTTACTTTGAAGTCAGTGGAATGAAAACTGGCATTGGTTACCGGTTTAACATCATCAACTGTGAAAAGTCAAACAGTCAGTTTAACTATGGTAAGATACATTTCCCATACTTTGAGAAGCAGTACTTAAAAAGTGTGTGTACTATACAGCTCAGATGTTTCCTTCCCCCTCCACAGGATGGGTAGTATTCATGTCGTCAGATTAGATTCTTTATTTGAATAGTATTTTGCTAGGAAATGTTTCGACAGTTTCAGTTAAAAAGAAAAAATATATCTTAAAAACATATGCTCTCAGTTTTTAAAGCGAAGTTTTGTTGTAAGTGGGGCCACAGCAGAAGAAATTTTCTGGTGACTGCAGCTCAAATTGCCCCAAGAACATTGTGAGGTGGGGACAATACCAAAGCCTGTTGATTCACACAGGTGCAAGAAGAATGACAGCTGTCAACGTTAATCCCTTTCTGCATAGAGGTATATTCTCAGATGTGAAAGTTAGCAGTGACATTCTAAAGCAGTTTTGTCTTATTGATAGGCAGGAAAAATAAGTCTCATTTGAAATTCTGGGCTTCATAAATGACCCTTGCAGTCTCTTGCAGTGTACCTCTTTCTGAAATACTGGCTTACTGATATGCCGTTCTTCCACTGGTCTGGGAGTGTGTATGCATGTGTCATTCAGCTTAAAACCATTTGTTTTGTGATCTTTCTCTTTTTCCTGCTGTATATTCTGAAATTTGTCCTTTAAGAATGAAAAAATAGCAGTCCCCCCTCCTCCCTCCAACCTCAAACTCTTGATACAGAGTAATATCATATTCTTCTTTGTCTTGCACATACTTTCACCTTGATAGTCACAGAATACCAGGTAGTTTGACCAGTAAGAAGATGCTTTTAAATTATTTACTAATCTTCATTAGTTACCTTAGATCTTTTTTCATGTTGCCTACACTTACTTGATAGTTGCTTTTGGTTTTTTAAGTACACTAACTGAATCAGTCAATGTGGTTGGCTAATTAAGTGTACAATCCAAAAAATACATACTTTCAAGAGTTACTGTTAAAAAAATACATTTCCTGAAACATCAGTTATTTCTCAGTTATCTACATGAATGGATGATAGATCAGTTTTTTGTATTCTCTTTGAGGCCTTTTTGTAGTGTGAGTTGGATGGGGTATGATCCATCTTGTAGATTACTAGTCATAGTAGATTACTAGTCATAATAACTTCAGATTTAAATGTTTCATTTCAGTCTTCCATAGGTCTGATTCTTTGCTTTAACATGTTATTTTCTGAAAATAAGGAATGTTTTGTCACCTGGTTCAAAGATCATACAATGCCCAGGCATTCATGAAAATACACTCTATGATAGTGAATAAATAAGTAGGCATAATTTGAAGACTCTTAGGTACATGTTGATGTGGTCCATTACTGCTAAGATCTTGATGTTTAATGTTAAACATTAAAGTGAAATGCATTTTTTATTTAAGGTATGCAGCCCCTCATGTATTCTATTCAAGAGGCACTAAATTCTCGACCAAGCTGGACTCGTGTTGGAACAGATATTTGTTACTATAAGTAAGTACAGAAAGCAAACATACAGGAAATCTTACACTGTAGATTAGCATGAGGCACAGTTTTAAGGAGAAATGCTTGTTTCTCCATTGGCTAATCCTGTGTAATCCTATTGAGAACAGTTTTCTTCCTGAGTTAATGTGGACAGTAGCTCAGGAAGAGTGCCAGTGATTGAAATATATAGGGTCTTACTGCGTAACCACACTGCTAATATATAAGCTGCCCGTATTTTATACTTGTGTAAGAAATTGCACACTGTTCCAAAGAGGCTTTTAAGGAAATGTATATATGCATGCTTACTTGTAATCCTGTTAGTGACTTCCAGTAATACTGATCACATGGGGGTTGTGATAAGCCTTCTGTAATCTGTGGTACAATCATTGTAGAGCAATCCTGGAACACAGGATGAGGTGGTACAACATATCCATGCATAATCCTTCTTGGTTGCTTGCTTTTCTTATTTTTTTGTTGTTGGTTGGTTTTATTTGGTTGGTTTATGTTATTGCTTGTTTTTGTTTGCTCACCTTTAAAGTCCCAATGTGAATGAATGTGTGTATCACAGCAATTAATAAAGTATCTTTACAGCTGGTGAGAATCAGTGTATTTAACGTGGGTGCGCACAGAAGGGAAAGAAACACTACAAATCATCCTGATACTTAGAATGTGTGTTCAGAAATAGTCAGTGGTATGAAAAAAAATTGTTCTAATCTGTGTATTACCTTTGTTTTTGATTTAGGAATCACTTTTCAAGAAGTTCAATTGCTGCTGGAGGTCAGAAAGGAAAATCTTATTACACAATTACATTCACAGTCACTTTCCAACATAAAGATGATGTCTGCTACTTTGCTTACCATTATCCGTATACATACTCAACTTTGAAGGTAAGAATATTATGATCTTTTACATAGATAAATATTTGTAGTTTTAGACAGTGTGAAACACAAGCATTCAGGAGTGAATTCTTTTTGTTTCTTTTTGTAAAGTTCAAAATGCTCCTTAAAATAGAGAATTTTCATAATATTAGTGTTTAGACTGCTGGAGTGTGTAGGTTGTTCTTTAGAACGTCTCTGGAAAAACAAAACTGATACTTGCAAGCTAAATGGGTTTTCTGGGAGTTAGAAAGATAACTAAGGTACTTGAGCATCTCTCAATATGAGGAAGGGCTGAGAGAGTTGGGCCTGTTCAGCCTTGAGAAGAGACAATGGAGAGGGGATCCTGTCAATGAACACAGGTGTCTGAGGTGAGGGTGCCAAGAGGATGGAGCCAGGCTCTTCTCAATGGTGCTGAGCAATAGGACAAGAGGTCACAACCAGAAACTGTTGCACAGGAAGTTTCACCTGAACATGAGGCTTTTCACTAAACCATACTTGCTATTGGAAGCAGTACCTGTTAAGAGATGATATAAG